GCTGCGGTATAATACGGAGATACTGCAGTGCTGCAGGAAATTTGTATGCACTTGGAAATGTACAATGCAAAACACTCTTCACAAAGAGAGAATGCACATAGCTTTTTTTTTTAACATACATATACTATGCCGATACATGAACTATGTACATTTTTACCAAATGGCAAATGCAGTTAAATATTCTATTGTCTTCTCTGAATTTAGTAAATCATCAATTCAGTTTCACAACTCACACTGTCAAGTTAGAGTGATCAATATCATGAATTAAAAATAGTTTTAAAAAGAAGTTAAGTAATGCTGAATTGAGAAAACTGTGTATGGATATCGTGTGAAAATAAAAAAAACACAGAAATTGATGATGCAATGAAACATCGTCAGGAGAAATCAACTTACTGTTTTACATCTTTGTATAAGATACAAATTTCTAACTTGCTGTATATAATTGCTCACGAGGGTGTCTGTAGTAAACTGTAAATGAAGCTTTGGCACAAATTACATCAATGAAAGGTCTGACTCATTCTGCTTTGGAGGAAGACTCTGCAACAGGCACACCACAGTCAACAACACGCCCTCAGGATGCAGGCATGCTGGTTTGAAGGAGGAACCACCCAACAATGATACAGGCGGCTGATGCCCTCTACTGGCCACTGTCCTGCACTGACCCCGGTATCAGCCATGGGTCTGGTTCACTACTTTAATGCACTCTTCCTGCTTCCCTGACCTCCACTGTGTGTCTATGGCTGGTGCAGCACAGATGACAAAGTTACACTCATGTAAGGAATGTATGACGATGATGAGACGAGTGTTTGTGAACGATACAAATCAGGAGTGACACATAACTTTAAAGAATGATTAGAAAGATTTTAAAAGCTTTGTAGCTGTAAATGTCTATCTGGAAAAAGTCACAACTAAGTATTAATTGCATTTTTACTTGCTGCTTAACGAACAGCGGCACACACCATTAAAGGCAACATTTAATTTAACATTTTATTATTGCAGCTTGTTTGGCAGGCATTTGTGACAGCATTAGTACAAAGTTTTTAGAATATCTGAAATAATGTGAAAAACTAAAAAATATAACGTTGAGCTCTTTCTGTGTGTTGATGAGTCTCTGAGTGATCCCTGTGTCTATGAAATGCCGACAAATGACGATTAAAAATTTGTTATAATTTTTCATTGCAGTTCCAGAGTTTTCAACACATTCAGCTTGCTCTCAGGCAGGGAACATAAAATCCTCACATAATGATGCAGATTTTTTTTCAGTAATAATTAACATGATTTATAGATTTTAATAGTTGCAGATTAATTTTCTGTTAATAAACTACGGATAAACAGACTTCAGCATCTCTCTCTGGGATGGATTCCCTGTACCAGCAGACATAGGAGGCTCTTCTGTAAGATGTTTGTAGCCACACGTGATTATTTTGTGGTGGTTTTGAAATGTAGTGAGGTGCTTTCTCAGACGGTCTAGAACAGGGGTGTCCAAAATAAGGCCCGGGGGCCAGAATCTTCCCAGAAAAGAGTCCAGTTGTGAAGAAGGATACACATTTTGGATTTTTAACTGTGCTTTCATAAGTTTTACAACTTTTCCTTCCCCTTGGCTATTCATAAAACACTAATAGATAAACATTTAAGTGACAGAAAAGTTTACACTTTTCCACTTACTAAAGAAATGTCTGTTTTGTTTTTTGTTTTTTACATTGGATCCACAGTAAAAAACAACAACAACAACTGTTTTATAATTACAGGACAGTGGGAAATGAGCTACTAGAACTTTTTCAGTAATTTTACACATCTATTTCTGACAATTTTAGCACAAAGAGTCATGCTGACCGATTTCTTTCATTTATTGCAGCATCATTTCTTTATCACGTAGAAGAATTGAGACACGTTGTTGAAAGTGCACTTCTTTTTCTTATATCAAGATAGCGATTAAAGGCATAGTTAAACTTCTTCACACTGACAGAAAGGGGTGTTTCACTGGTCCGGCCCATGATGTACAATGAGTTTGACATCCCTGCTCTAGAAGTTGAACGCTTGTTAAATGATGCAGTATCACAAAACCCAGAGCAAGGCAAGAAGAACCTGCACATCAGAAACATAATTCTTTCCTCTATAATAGACACATTTGCTGTTTGTTTTAAGGTGCATCTCTCACAGCGAGACATCCCTATAATAATAGTGTATATGGGCTCATTATAAAGATCACTGTGATGCTGGAGATAGGGAAACACACTGATGTCCTTCACTGCATGAGTGGGATGAAAATTATAGCTCACAGCTCACAAGTATAAAGTGAGATCATTGTGATGTTATGTTTCACCTACATGCAGGGTTATACACTCCCCTGCTTTTTCTTTAAGCACTTGCACACATTGGAATTGAGATGACACCCAGTGTACCTGCAGCTGTCTTTGTTGATTGTGCTGTTGCAGTTAAGGGGTCAAGTGCCTTGCTCAGGCACACCTCAACAGTAGCTGTTAAAGTTTTTTTCTCCAGTCAGTTAAAGTGTGCTTCACTAAATGACTTTGGAGCAGCTGAAAATAACTTTCCCTTTGAATTCTCAGAAGTATTTAATAATACTTTTATAACTCCTAAACTCCTTTCATCTCTGCAACTCTTTGTTTTTCCATCTCTATCCCTAGCCTCATGATTCGTTTGCCTCATGATTATATAAAAGAGTGTAGCTGTGCTTGCTTCTGCGGAACAGCCTGATCTTCATCCACATTACCAGCTTTCTAAAATAAAAAATGGGCAAAAGAATCCTTTTTTTAGTGTTTCAAAGATACTAATGCTGTCTAATCTGGTGCTATATGATGCAGAAGAAAGTCACTGCTTTTAAAAAGTTGGTCTCTGACACTCACTTTGCTCTGCTGTACAACACTTTTGTACAAAACTTTTAATGTGGGTTGATTGTGCTCTGTTTGCACTTCTGTTGTTAGATGTTCAAAATGTTGCCATTTCATTTTAATTATTTTATATATTATAGCACTACTACTACTACTACAATATTGTAGTCATGTGATTAGACATTGTCCTGGCTTCTGGCTGCTCTCTTTGATTGAGGGAACCTGCAAGTGGATGGATGCTGTACTGCAATGAATCACTGGGTGTTAACTAGACTCCCTCCTCAGTCATAGCACGCCAGCACAGCCTGAGGGCAACAATTGATCAGAGTGTTGTATGGGTGCGTGTGTGTGTGTGTGTGTGTGTGTGTGTGTGTGTGTGTGTGTGTGTGTGTGTGTGTGTGTGTGTGTGTGTGTGTGTGTGTGTGGCTGCATTTGCTGGCATGTGTACTTGTGTTTATCACAGTGAGACTTGAAAAAAAGGATAAGAATTAACAGTGAGAGATATAAAAAAATTTTTTTTACTTATTCCTGTCTCCAAAAGCAGGGATGTCTGTGCTGAACACTGTGTCTTTTAAAAGTGTGTCACAGTAAGACAGAAATGCCAGTTTTTGGTGAAGGTCACAACGGAAGTACAAAAAAGGAGGGCGTTGTGTAGGTGAACTAATAATACGTACAGTGCAACAGCCTCGTTGTGGTTTATGACCAAGCTGTAACTCATATCAATCTTTAGAAAAAAAATTAACACACATATTTCTGACTGAAACCATTATTAATTAAAAATGAAGCGCAAGATGCTAAACATGTGCATAGATGCATAGGAGGTGCAGCATGCCTGGTTTGACATCAGAAAGTCAAACATCCACAGTCAATACAACTAAAACAATGTGTAAACTCTGCTGTGTGATCATCTGGACTGAGGGTTTCCTGTGTGCGAGCGCCTCTCCTGATGAATGAAGCCCGACTGTAGCTGCAAACAAGTGAGATTAAACCGTGGCCTGTGCTTGTTTGGACACTTTTCTGCAATAGTGTACTTTACACCGTGAGCGTGTGTTGACTTCTGTTTTCCCCTGCCTTTTGTTTGTGTGTGTACATACAAAGTTTCATGTGTGTGTGTGTGTGTGTGTGTTGAGTGGATCTCTCTTTTCACCATCACCATTACTGCATGAAAGACCTGTCAGTCTGTATTAGGTTCTGCCTCTTCCCCTCTGTGTGTGTGCGTGCGTGCGTGCGTGCGTGCGCGTGCGTGTGCGTGCGTGCGTGCGTGTGTGTGGGAGAGAGAGAGGGGGGGGAGGGAAAGGTTGAACTAGGCAGTAAAGCCATTTTAAAGCTATTGAAGGTCATTGTTCGCTCACTCTGTTTTATGCGCACTAAATGCTGTGTGAGGTCAGCAGCTCTGGCTTCATTTTTATAGATCTGCGCGTGAAATAATCCGATCTATACCACACCAGCTGTGTAATTTCCCCAGATGATTTGATCATTTTACCACTAATATTACAGCGCTACTGCTGAATTTCCGTTTTTGCTGATATTGCTGATACACTGATATTAACCTGTGGATGTTTGATTCCGTCTTATAACCCCCCCCCCCCCCCCCCCCCCCTCTCTCTCTCTCTCTCGCTCTCTCTCTCTCTTACTCCTCCCCCTCCTCCTCTCTCCCTCTCTCTGCAGGGCTGCGCTTGTGCTCCATTTCCCAGAACTACCAGCGCGGCCCTCATCATCAGCATCATCACTACAGAGGAAAAGTGCCCCACTGGCGCTCCATCAAGTCGCTCTCCAGCAAAGGAAAAAAGAAATATCGACATCAATAACGCTCGCGCACTTACGAGCTGGTCATAATAGGCTACTTACGAGCGCGCAACCATGAGCGTGTGGCACACGCTCCAATAAGCACATCCAGACCAATTCCCTCAATATAAGAGGGGGGTGAGGGGGGTCATGCCTTCGTAGTGATCTCGTAGCACAACATAGGCTACTGTGGGAGATTTCATCTTGTGTCGACGATCCAACCTCATTCACATTTAGCGTGGAGTTTTAGTGTGATGCGACAAGTTGCTCGCGCCGCGCGCAGTGTGGAAGAAATCGATGGAGGAGCAGACAGGCGGGCGAGCGCTCATCCAACCGGAGGGGAGGGGGAGACGCATTCTCCCCGAGTACACACAAGCAGCGGCCACATCCACTGTAGACAAATCCGTGTTCAGTGACGTGTTTTGTACTAGCCTTTTTTTAAATATATACACATTGAACCATTTTCCACCTCAGACTTAAATTTAACCGGGACCTGAGACTTCACTCTTTTTTTTCTTTTTGCTCCTAAATTCATGATTTTTAATCACCCCTTTCGATTTAATTATTTATTTTGTTGCCTCGATAGACCCGTTATTTAGCGCCGTCCACCTCCTCTCTCCTGTTCCCTCCATCCCCTTCTCTCTCTGGGAGTGCAAGGCGCTGCGAAGCTCGGAAATTTAAAAAAAAAAAGAGAGAGAGAGGGAGCCTGCAGGTAAGACCGCCGTAAGCTTCTTTAAAATGATTATAATTGCATTGAGACACTGTTGTTTTGACTTTGCAGCTTAATGAATGACAGTTCATCCAGGCTCATTTTCATAGCACATTGATTTGTTTCACGTTGCCTGCAACTTAACACACTACTGACAGTGTTGATATCGTAATTCCAGAAAAGAATAATAATATTTCTCAGACTTCCACCACTCCTCTCCATCTCCCTCTCTCTCTCTCTCTCTCTGATTAAATGCTGAATGATAATATTCCCACCTATTTTGCGCGGGCCTATAATTAGCGACCGCAACGTCTATTATGCAAATGATCATTTTAATAGCTCGTTTTTAAGCTCTGCCTGCATTCACGCCGCAGCAGTGGAGACTAAAATATCTGCTGCGTTCGCTGACATGATCGGCCGCTTCCCCGAGGATGGAGAGTTATTTCAGCGTGTGCGAATGCGAGTCTCGGTGTGTCATTCGTGTCCCAGTCCGCTGAGTTTTCTCTATACTGGTCTCTCGATGCTAGGCGTCCATTTTCCACCGTGCAGCCTATGCAGGCAGGGTGATGTGTGTAGCGTACTCTGTTAACAAATGCACCGCAGTCCGCATCACTATAAGTCAGCTCTGCACGCTCTCGGCCCCGTGGCTCTGAGCTCGTATGTGTCTCATCAGTGTGTTATGCGCCGCTTTGGAGTGCAGGGCCAGCATCTCATCTTGGCTCCATGTTGAACCTGGGCCACATCATTGCATCAGACGCGTATTTTTTTCCATTATTTTCCACAGTCTTCTCTCACTGAACAACCTGTGCAGCTTCGACAGATCCAGAGGTAAAGGGCACCGAACACCTGGCACGCGATCAGCCATTCAGTATTCATCACAGCTCACATCATGTCATTGCTAAAGGAGGACTGAAACGTCTTGAATTGGAAATTATGTAGGAGTGTGCACTGCAGTATTCAGGAGTTTCTGTGCACTGTCAGCAAACAGCACAGTGACTTATACCTGTCTTCATTGTGCCTGCAGCCCATGGCAGGTTACAGCTCTGAGTGTTTTCTCAGAAATTTTCATTATTCAATGAGAAATACGCTGTTGTGCTAGCCTACAGTGTTGATGACTGTAGCACAAGTTTATACCCACTAAGCTCAGCTTCTCACTGAGTGCTGCATCTATTCCGTTTGGGGACCAGCCTTTGGTTTTAAAAAGCCAGCATAAATGACCGTCAGCGCTCTGCTTTTACACTGTTCATTTATACCCTTGTTTTGTTTTGTTTTCTGTCACTTGATGTTACAAGTTTGCTGTTGAACTTTTCCTTTGTGATCATGCCAAATGCGATTGCCACTGGGTGGCAGCTGAACTGAAATATTTGTGCGTTTCTTAAATATTATCAGCAATGAGATAATGGATGAGAGCCTAAAGTTGTTCATTTCTTAACTACACCTCAAATCATTAATTAACTGCGTGTAATTCTGCGAAAATGCATGCAGTTACTGTTTGCGCTATAACTTCAGTTGTGTGACTTAATGACAGTGCAAGTGCAAGTTTCATGTTACACACTGCACACCGAAAGGGCCTAAAAGGTTCGGTTATGTCTGATGAGAAATCAAAGGTGTCGTTTTTGTATCACGCTGCTGCCATTTGCCGCCCACCTCTTTATCAGCTATCAGTGATTCTTTCATTAAGTGATCTTGGCCCTGTCACACCCCATCAGTTCCTCCGCCTCCCACGTGCTAAACACCGTCTGTGCCGTGTGTGTGATGTACGTGTGGCCTTGATGATCGTCTCTGTGGACTTTGGATCACTTTCAAAACCCCTGAGTTGGCTCTAAGATCTGCTTTTTACACTCTAAGGTGACTCACTGCAGTCAATACTGATGCGTAGCCCAAACAGGCTGTAGGTGTGATTTAACGCTGGCCAAATTATAATCATCTAATGCTCAAGCGGTCCACAACAATCGGAAAGGATCTCTAACTTTTGACTGTTTCCACTCGTTTACCTGTCTCGCTTAAATTTCACTCCTGGTTGGTCTCTTTCTCTCTCTATATCTCGCTTTCTCCCTTTGAGGAGAAGTAATTCTGCAATGATCATCACATCTGTCATGTAGCTGTTGTTCAGAGGATCAATGCCTTTGCTGCAATTTTCTTGATGGTCTGAGATTTCACACTGTTCATTCCTCTCTTTAGTGCAGGAGGAAGCCCAGTGCTGTACAAGAGCCACAAATGCCTCAGTTTGAAATACAGCCCCTTAACAATCTAATGTTCATTCACATTACTGCATAACTTTTCATCTCTACCCTATTAGTAAAAAGAAACTCCTGCATATTTAAAGAAAAAGTCTAAACTTACACTTGTAGCAAGTCTTGCAGTATTGGGAAAGCTTACATTCAATACACAACACTGCTTATAACTCCAGTGAGCAGAGGCTTTTATCCAAAGCATTCTAAATGACTCCGTTCTCAGTGGCTATGACCCATGCATCAATTAACCCAGAGCTTTGGTGTTTTTAAGTGCTTTGTTTAAGCTTGTATAGCCTAAGAGCAGGGTTGTAAGAGCCTGTGATTGAACCGTGTTGTGTCAGTGATATGCTGTTAGCTGACCTGTCCGTGTGTGCAGGAGCATGCAGCATAAAAACACGACAGAAACCGTGTTAGCATGTCTGATAGGCCAGCACAAGGCTGTAGATACAGGTTGCAGCACCTGTAACTAAATCCCACAAACAGATTACAAAACGGTGTAGGTGTGAGTGAGAGTCTTAGTTGTTTATATTAGAATATTGAAGCTGCTCACACATGAAATAGATTATGTGACTCAGAGTAGGTGCAGACATATCACTCTACTATTAGGCCTATGAGTAAATAAATGAATGACTATCTGCTAAACATCTGTTTGAGATTAGCCCCAGGTCCACAAGAGTTTGCTCATTTACATTTGTCATCAACTCTTTTCCCTATTTATTTATGAAACGATCCAGAAATTATCTAGTATGCAGACCTTGAGAAAACTCTGCTCAACAGTTTCTTAAATAGGCTTATGTGTATTCTCATAAACCTAGGGATGTCACAGGAACCAAGCGTCCTAGTGTATCATTACACACTGAAGAAAAATGACACCCACAAGTGCAGGAAAAACCACACTCGGAAAAGCAAAACCTCATGATGGTGACTGGTGTAGCTGCCACGAGGCAGTAAGAGTCGGGTTTGAATGTACTTTGTGTTGTTACCCTGAATTCCTAGTTTTTTGATACAGCTGGCATTACCATTGTAATCAACTGAAAGGTTTGCAATGGGTAATGTTAAATGTACAGAGGAGGTCAGGATAAGGTACAACAGTGAGTGTCTACAGCCATGTGTAAAACATGCTGGAGACTCTGTCATGTTTGTGGCTGCACTTCAGTCATTGGTGTTGGGGATCTTGTCAGAATTGATCAAATTGGGAAGGAAGAAAAGTACCATCAGATTCTGATCCACCATGCAGTACCATCTGGAAAGCCTCTGATTGATAACAGCTTCATTTCTTAGTATGACGATGATCCCAAACACACTGCCAGTGCACTAAAAACATAGCCGGATAGAAAAACCCACAGTTGAACACTGTCAGTAATGGATTGGTCTCCCTTGGAGCCAAACCATGATTGTTAGTCCAGGACTGATCCATAGTAAACTCAACATTAGTGAACCAGTCTGGGATCATCTTGACAGAGAACAGAACAAAAGGCAGCCAAAATCCGAAGAAGTGCTTTGAATGTCCTTCAAGAATCCCAGAGAACTATTTCTGAAGACTACTCAAAGAAATGACAGGAACGCTTGCTTAAGAGAGTTCAGGCAGTTGAAAAATAAAGGTGGTCATACCAAATATTGACTTTCAAAGTCGTTAGAATTGTACGAACTGTTTTTGGCTTACATGCTTTATTTACATTTATGTTTGCAAGTGTTTTATTAAATCGCTGCACTTCTTCCCATTTTAATTGCAAAATGTAAAGATACAATTGGTGGCTTTTTCTGGCAATAGGCGTGTTTGGAATCCCAACACAGTCAGCTGATCCAAGCAGAGGTGGACAGAGCGTAGACGAGTAAATAAATCACCAAACATAACAAATGTTCAGGAAATCAGTTTATGTTTCACATGTCTGAAAGAAAATCTGAATATCATATTTTTAAACAACTGGCCGAGATCTATCAACGAAAAACTTATTAATTATAACATTTATCATTTTTTTAAATCTTTCTTTGTTTTTCAGTTTATACAAAAATAAAAAACACCCATAACATCACTGCATCAACCTAAGAAATAATGAAGATGATGCGGCAAGTGTTTAACTTAGTATCTTTAGTTACATATTTAGATATGCTACATATGTTGATATTCTGTTTAGTGGGGTTGGGGACTCATTTTTACCTTCTCATTAATGAAGATTTCATGCATTTCTTACACGATGCATAAGTGGTGATAAATTCTGGATAGTACTGGAGTTTGTGTGGTTGTAATATACACATTCCCCTTTGCCATAAATCTGAGCATCCCGGACCTAACACCCTCACAGTGATGCCTTCACCTGGTGGCCTGTTTGTCAGACAGTTAAAACATCTTTAAATCACCTGCTTGGGCTTTAGGTAAGTTTGATATTTTGTTAACAGGAACCAAATCATAAAGAAAACAGGCACCACATTTGAACTACTCATTTATGGTGAAACCTATTAATTATTGTTACTTTATTTGTATTTAAGTGCATTTCTTTGAACATAAATTATAAATCAACTGGAAAAAAATGAAATAAATAATAAATAAATGTGAACTGAACTAAATATGCCACAGCATGACATTGTGTATTTAGACTTTAAGGGAGGTGCAAAAGTGAAGAGGGAGAGGGATTCAAAAACAGAATGAAGTACAATAATCAATCACTCACTCTGCAGGTGGAGGGAGAGATATAGGAGAGGTGGAGAATGAACTCAACCTGGGTGTCTATTGTCCTGTGTAGTTTGGGAGATGATTGGATGATGGGGTGG